TGCCTCCAAATACCACAATTGGATTAAATTTCTATTCTCTTAATACCTCATAATGGAGATTAAATTTCAACTTGAGTTTTGGAGGGACAGTCGGACAACAGCAGTGCTTTTATTAGGCCCTTATTCCAGAGGTGGAGACTCTACCCAGCAAAGCTCAATCACTTGCCCAAGGCCACACAACCAGTGAGTTGAGGCTGATTACCAAACAGCTGTCTGCCTGCACAGGAATGCTCATGCCCACCCTGTGTGCATGCCTGCGTTCTGCTCCCACAACAATGTGTGGGGCCACCTGGCCTCAGAAGGCTCTGGTTGAGTCCTGTTTCTCCTTGGGACTACTCACTCCTCGGGGCAGGAGGAAGAAGATTTTGGTACAAGCTCTGCTGTTGAAAGAGTTCTTAGGGGCTTATAGGTGACCAACTCCAGGCAGTGCCCAGGGCTGTCTGAGGAGGCCTCATGTGCTGGGCACCTCTTAGATGGGGTCTCATTGCCCACGGAAGGACAGTTTCCTAGGCAGGAGCTATTAATGCATAAATAACGGATTCAAGTATAAAGGGTCAGCATTTTTGTGATGCCTGGATCATGGATCAGTTAGTAGAAAGAGGCAAGGGGCCCCTGCTGTCCTTTGTTTCTGCAAAGTTGTTAGAAAAGATGTTTATTGTGTGATCTTTGTCTTAAGCCTGCTGGCTCCACTTCTGGAGGCCCTGACAAGACCAGAGGCAAAGATTTTCATTTTCTGCCCCAAGAATATCATTCCTGCTCCTGAGGGATATTTCATACCTATGGAGGGTGCAGCTATGTCACTTTTAGGCCTGTTCCCTATGACTTGTGCTGTGGCAGCAGCCACCTGGAGGGCCCCCACCCCAGGCTATTCCCGCCCCCACCCCCAGCCTCTGTACTAGAGGCTGGTGCTCCCTGGCCCTTAGCCATGGCTGGATCCCAGCCCCAGTGGGAGACAAATCCTAATGTCCTGCCCCATGACTGCTCTGCTCTGCGGCTGCCTCTTCCAGGGCCTCCCAGGAGGCCTGGTAACTCAGGGGTCACACCCTGACCTGCCTGGCCTGGAGTATCTGTCTCCTGTCTGTCCTTCCAGGCCTGACTCCCTGTTCCCCTACATCCCAGATGCTGCCCCAGGCCTTTTGGGGGGTCAACAAACTTTCCTTTCTAGGCTGCTTTTCTGAGGTTCCAGCAAAGAAAGCAAGTGCCCCTCAAATGTGAGACTGGGGTTGACTTCAGGCAGAGAAATGAAGCAAAGGACTGCATCCCCCAGCCCAAGTGACCCAGGGTTAGGTGAGGGGACCAGAGCACCTGGGAGGGACCCAGAAGGGGTAGCTCCATGGTTGCTGAGTGGAATCAGGATCAGCAACCCAAAAAGGCCTTTAAAAATGGGGAAAGAGAGGCCCAGGTTGGGAAAGTAGTGCCACACTACGTAGGCAGTCCTGATCTGGAAGAGAGGAGCCTGGCTTTGGAGTCATCCCCTGGCAGGGCTAGAGCCTCCACTTTCTCACATAAAATGCAAACAATTGTACTCATCTTGTGAGTACACGGGGGTTAAGTGAGATTCTGAATGCTGAAGAGGGCATGGTGACTGACACAGGATGTTGTCATCCTGATGAACATTCACTGAGGCGGTACTCTGTATCGGTTCGTGTGAGCTCCCAACAACCACATGGTCTTTACAATCTATTAACTGTTCCTACTTTATAGAGAAGAAAGCTGAGGTACAGCTAGGTTTAGTGACTTGTTGAGAGTCACAGAGCTGGGAAGAGGCAGACTCAGGATTTGAACCCATGCATTCTGGCTCCAGACCTCTTGCTCACAACCTCTGTGCCAAACTGACTTAGGGCCAGTGGTAGCATGTGGGCTTGAACCTTGGAAGTCTGCTGCTTCCCAGCCAGCTTTGTGACCTGACAAGTCCTGCTTTATGGACAACGCTTGGTGACTGAGGACCTGACCTCTCCATATCTCATGGGGTAAGGACTCCCTACATCAAACAGCTTCATATGTGGCACTTCAAATAACAGGTGCCACCCCAGAGTCCTCAACAGGTAGCTGGACTAGTCCCTTATGCAAAGTGTATCACTCTCATGGGCCATCTCACAGGACAGGGACCCTGGACTGAAGGTGCCCACTATATCACAATTCTTAGCACACCAGGCAGGGGCTGAGCTCCTTATGAGCTCCTACTGAGAGGCAGCGTGATGTAGTGAGCAATGGAGTCAAAGAAATTGATTTAATCTTGGCACATAGCAAGTACTCATTTAGTTCCTGGCTATGGAACTAATAATGGAAGAAGCGGGAGCCATGATCTGAGTTAGAGAGGCCTGTTCTGGTAGAGTGTCCCTGCCTGACTTAGGTTCCCATCTTTCCTTCCTTCCTTCCTTCCTTCCTTCCTTCCTTCCTTCCTTCCTTCCTCCCTTCCTTCCTTCATCAAATAGTTATCCAACCCTGCTGGGTGCCAAACCTTGTGCTCAAATTTGGAATAGAGACATGAACAGAGAAAACCCTCTGCTTTCAAAGAGCTTACCGCCTAGTGGAAGAGGCAGACAATTAACAAGATGAGCATGATTAATAAGACCGGTTGGAGTATGATACAGTCTATGGAGAAAAATAAAGCAGGAAAGAGGGACGGATGGTCAGAGAAGGCCTCCCAGGGAGGGCCTCACCTAAATGAAGCCTAGAAGGAGATGAAGAGAAAACCATGGGGACAGCTGTGTCATGGGGGACCCAGAAGAACTACCAATGATCCACAGAGCACCAACCATCTGCTGGGGACAGGGCATTAAGCTAGGGCAAGGGTGAGACATAGGTGCAGAGAGGACCCGCAGGGCCAGAAATGCCCATGCCACAGGGACTTCCGCTTTAGGGCAGGGCAAATCCCTTTCTGGGGATGATGCTGGCGACTGAGTCTGCTTGAGGAGGGGAATGAGAGAGGTCCCCAAACAAAGAGGTATCTGAGGGCCTTTATGCTCAATTCTCTAAGGCCTGGTAAGTGAGAGTGGGTGGAAGAGGGTGGAGATGCTGACTTAGGCACATTCTCTAGAGAAGCTGGGAATTGTTTATGGCCCTGTGTAGGCCTCTGGTGGCCAGTGCCATTTTGGATATGGACAACACATACACATCTAATTCAAACCCAGTGCACCTGAGACTGTACTTAGTGGGCTGGAGTTTAGGGAGACTTCCTGCAAGAAGTGTCCTGGGAACTGGACTTGGGCACAGAAGCCATGCTGAGATGGCCTTTGCCATGGTCACCCAATGTCCTGGACCAGCATGGCGCTGTCAGGAAGTGCCTCTGATAGGGTGCTCCCTGGGCACCAGAGCCTGGAGGGGAGGGTGACTGTCCACCTTCTCCAGGCTGCTCTGTCTCTCTGCTCCCTGTACCTTGCCCCTGAGGAGAAGGAGGAAGAGAAAGGAGAGAAGGAGGAGAAGGAGGAGGAGGAGGAGGAGGCAGAGGAGGAGGAGGAGCAGCCTTGGCGCTGATGGATATGCCAAAGCTGGGCTGCTGCTGCGGCCCAGCACTGTCACCATGCTCTCCCTCCCTCCTCTGGAACCTGACACCCTGACCACTGAGGCATAAAAAACAGAGAATTGGAAGGCTCAGCCTGTCAGGCTAGGAGTGGCCCCCAGAGAGGCCTGAGGAGGGGCATACACGTGTGTGTGTGTGTGTGTGTGTGTGTGTGTGTGTGTGTCTGTATACTCTCTTTCTGTGGTTGCCTGCCTGTGGATGTGGGGGGAGGCCAGCTGGGCCCAGTGGCTGGGGGCAGCTGGCCCCTCAGCCCTGCCTCACAGATCAGGCTCCAACTGGCCAAGCCCCATGGGCTCCACATTTGGGTTTAGGCTACAGGGGAGAGAGCATTGCTCTTGGTCCTGAGTTCTGACTAGCTCTTGGCCTTTATAAGCACCCTTGGGGGATCATGGAGACATGCTTTGGCTGGATGTAGTCTCCTGGGGCTGTGTAACTCCTGTCATCTCCAACAGGGGCGAACCCCCATGCCCTGTACCCACCAGCTGAAGCAAACTGCTCAGCAGCTGACTCTCCATGCCCTGCTCTACATCCTCTGCTGGACACACCCTCTGCCAGCCACGGGGTACCCGTTGAGGAGTCAGGGCCCAAGCCTACCCTCTGTGGCCTCCCAGCCATCAGAGAGACAGGCAAGCCCTGCCTGCTACAAGAGCAAGACAGCAAGAGTGTAGGAGATAGGATTTGAGGCTTGCCCCTTTGACCTGGCCAGCAGTAAAGAGGCTTGCCTGATGCTGTTACCTGGCCCAAGGAAGAGCCACAGTAAGCCTGTTGCTCCTTGAGCCACTGGCCCAGAGGGTACCGTCCTCAGGACCTGCCATGCCTCTCCCGTCTCTATGGTCCTCACCCTGAAATACCTCACAGTCCCTGCCTGAGGATGCCCAGAACTGCTAACAATTGCCCCAGCCTACCCTCTCCTCTGTTCCCCATCCCTTCATCTTAGCAATGTGCCAGTGGCAGGTGCATCCTCAAGGTAGACAACCTGGAATTTTGTCTCATTTCCCTGACTAGATTGAGGCCCCAGACATAGTCACCCCTGGATTCACAGTGCAGACAGTCAGACTAGAGCTGAGGTGCATGTTGTGGGGATTAGAACTGAACCCACACTAAGATCCTAGCAGTCTGTGGCTTTGGACTCGGGCAGGTATATCAGGTGAGACCCTGGACTTTAGGCTCTTTACCTGTAAAGTGAGCTAGTGGCCCCCAGGAACACCTGGCACATGGTGGTTCTGTGGTGCCCATGTGAGAGGCTGGCTTTCACTCTCCTTGGTACAAAAGGCTTAGAAAGACATAGGTAATGCCAGTGGCAGCTGCTTGCTTAGTGTGGATGTGGCTCTGACATGATCTTTATTGGTTATAAAAAGTACATTCAGCTCATGAAGGAGGCAAATACCATCAGCACTCAAGCTGGCCGGGACACAGGGACTTTTTTGAACTTGATCTAACATTTGGTTTCTGTTTCTCTCTCCACCATCACCTGCAGGGAGTGAGTTTTCTGGGAGTCCCTACAGCCACCCTCAGTATTCTTCATACAATGACTCCTGGAGGTTCCCCAACCCAGGGCTGCTTGGTGAGTACTGGCAGAGGCCTGCGGGTTCCTAGGCTGAGGGAAACCTAATCTGGGCTTTCTTACTGGGCCAGAGTCCCTCAACGACCTGATGTCCAGTCACTGAGGTGGGGTGGGTATGGGGGTGGCCATAGGGATCTCAGGGCCATAACCACGCCAGCCTGCTTGTCCCCTCATCTCTCTCTCAGATAGTCTGATGGATCAGGGAAAGTATCATAGAACAGTAAAAGGGAAGAAAAGGGAATTGAAGGAGGAAGAGGAAGGCAGAAAAAATGTCAGCCAGTGCGTAACACATTCCTTAAGAAGCATAAAAATGGTGAGAATTCTCTAAATAGAGCAGTAAACACACCAACTTGGATTAATTGGTGGGGGCTGCCTCAAGAGTTGTCTTGCTAAGGACTCTGAGGCCCAGTGTTTGATTAGTGATATCTACCATGGATGCTACCAGTGCCAGCTCCATGGCTGCCTTGTGGCCGAAGGCCTGCCAAGGCTTGCCACACAGGGCTCAGCTGGTGCCAGCCTCTGCCCAAGCCTTGAATTGACAGATTGTCTATAGCTGGTGCCAACCTGACTGTGAACATCATTAATGTATTTTTGCCCCCTAAAGACCAAGCAGGACTAATTTAGCCCTCAAAAGTCCAAGAAGAGCCTCTTGTTTTGTTGACATAAAATTACATGAAATGAGCTGGTGAGGGCTGGCAGGAGCTAAAGGACCTTAAGACACAGGCCCTGAGTTTACAGATGTCACTTACCATCTGGGGCATGGAGCCACCCAATCGGCCTGCAGACAACAACACTGATACCTCCCCTAATATCAGCTAAGAATTTTCACCTGGAGCAGTGAAAGGTCAGACGTAGAAGGGCCCTCTGAGACTACTCTGGTTTGTCTGTCCAGTTTAATAAGGCCTCCTTGTGTAAGAGCCTCTTAATTCCCTGGGTCTTTAATTCTTTTAGGACTTAGAAACATAGTCTTCAACAGAAAAACAATAATATGATGTCTTCAAACTCAAGTTGCCAAGCCATAGGTCTGTGAAGGAGGTCCTCAGGTCTCAAACCTTGTTTGGTGACTAGGACAGACACATGGTATGAACACTACCTCTCTCTTGCTACCACTATTCCATGCACTCGGGGCCACGGGCTGCCCAGAGCATTTTGGTGTGTCATGCATAGCTGTGGCTGAAATAAGGTACACTGCTAATTAGTGCTCCAGGTCCCCATGCAAGGGAGTTTTCCAGCCTTCTGGAAGATATCTGTAGTTTCCCAGAGGGCTTGAATCTGTGGATTGATCTCTTCTCAGACTTCTTTTTTGGTTTGGTCAAAATCATTTCAATCTAAGTGTTGTGAAACAGGATCTCCACCTACCTGATGTTTTTCCTTAAATGGACTCTGAGTTGACTCAGCTCTCAGTCTCAGGCACTGGGGCTGTAATCTCCCTGAACCAGTCAGTGTCTTCCAGTAAGAGTGGGTGTAAGGAGATGGGTCTTGAGGGCCAAGCCCAGGAGTCCCTCCCTGGAAATGTCCCTGAGACATAGCTGTGGCCCCAGATCTTCTGGGAGACCCACAGGTGATGTGGCTTAAAGGAAGGGTGGGCATCACCCTGTGGGTGTGGGTCTTTCTGATGGGGAGGTGACCCTGAGAAAGCCACATTGGCCCAGAGATTCCATGTATGACTGACTGTACACTGCTGGGGTGGAAAGTGGGGGCTGAAATCCACCCTCTCTATGGCACGAGTCCCTGCCCAGAAGGGGCACCTTTTCTGATTTTCATAAGGCATCCTTTAAGTTGGCAGTGGCCTTCATTTCTTTGCCCAGCAGTTTAAGAGGCAGAGAAGTGGAGACAAAGTTGCTCAGGAATGAGTAGCAAAGGGATGCGACAGGAGGTAGAGTGGTCAGTGTAGTGTGCACAGATGGGGAACCTTGAGACTAGGCTGGGTGTGTAAAGTGATGGGGACTCGTGGTGGACCTACATCTGAGGCTTTTGCTCAAGCTGGAGGGAAGTCCAGGTCCCAGTCCCAGTTGTTAGAGGCTTGGTCTGTGTTCCCAGTGGGAGGAAGATGCAGGCTCTGTCCCAGGGAGCTCACAGGCTAGAGGTGAGGGAGCATTGGGTAGGTGTGTCTCTGCTGGGAGGTGCTCTGTTCGGAAGGCCAGAGATAGTGTGAGAAGGAAGGCAAATCAAAACTCTGTTCTTCTAAGTGAGCACTTGCTAATTGTATCAGGCACAAGGGGGCAAAACGCTCCACGTGGGTCATCTTATTTTATCTTTTCAACAACTCCGTGGATCACATATCATTATTTCTTATATAGATGAGGAGAATGAGGCCCACAAAGGGTTAATTAAGTCACTGAGGTCACACAGCAAGTGAGTGGCACAGTGAGGACCCAACTTGACTCCAGAGCCTATATTCATAGTCAGTGTACGTCATGTTCTCTTACTCCTCCTGATGGATTCGGTCTGAACAGTGCTTATTGCTGAGAAAGGGTCTCAGGCTGTGTCGAAACAGGCCTGATAAGCCTCAACACTCAAGCTTGTGTGCGATGAGGACAACTGTTCTATTTTTGAAATCCAGGTTAATGATCTATGTCAGACTCTCATTTGTAAACAAAAAAGTCCACTCTGGCTGTTTTAAGCAGAAAACAGATTTATTAAGGGGTATGAAGGACTCCCAGAATCTCCAGGAGGACCACAAAGGCATGGGCCCCACAGCCCAAAACACACCCAGCCACGCCTCTGGGGCTACTCTATTGCCAGTGTTCCTGTGCTGCCAGCTGGCACCCCTACAGCTATTTGCTCTATGCTGTGGCTTTTCCTAGGATGCTTGAGACTGGGCATCAGCAGCTCTTCCCTGCCACCACCCAAAGATGAGGGCCTTTGCCATTTCCTCCCAATAAATGGAGTCCTCTAGCCCACTTCCTGGAGTTGCTCCCATTCCTATCAAGCTCATGCGAGAGAGTTTAATTGGCAGAGCCCACATAACACACCTGGGCCCTAGCAGCAAGAGAAGTTGGGAGGATGGGCTCAGACCGTTTCCTACCTCAGGAAATCACAAATATGGGATGGGAGGACTATAAACGATATGGGGCAGCTACAAATACGAGAAATGGCCCCTGAGCTGCCCAAATTTATAACCCAGGGAATCCTAGTCAGGCTGTCAACCAGAATGGGCCTTGGTGGGCTTTGTGTAAAATGGGGGTAGTCACTGTGGCAGCCTTTCAAGTGGGTGCTGAACGTGATGATCTTGGGGTGCACGCCCTGAATCTGCAGTGATCCCACTTGCTTGATTCATCAGACCAGAGCCTTGCAAATAGCTCCAAGCCCATTGCCATGGTGCCCTTGCCATGATGTCTGAGAGGGTTTGGCTGAGCAAGTATCAAGGGGGTTCCATCCAGGGAGACGCAAGCTGACAGTGTGTGCAGTGTGGGAAGGGGTACATGTGTGGCACCTGCCCTGGACTCCACGATGCTCCTGTTGGCTCAGTGGGGCTGTGGTCACAGGGAGCGCGCACACACACATACACACACACACACACACACACACACACACACACACACACACACACACTGGCACTTAGCCTGGCACATGCTGCTCGTACCTCCCTGGCTGACCAGCAATGCCATCGAATAAAAGTGAAGGACATATTTCATGTGAGTTTCACAAGAGAGCTTCCTCCTCACATGTGTGTCCAGCTGGGGCAACTGTGACTCAGCATCCTGTGTTGTTATGAACCTCCAGGTTGGCAGGGGAGCAGCAGAGGTTGGCGGGGTTGGGGGGTGTAGGCAGGACTGGTGGGGAGACAGGGCTGTGGCATCAATTAAGATTAGAATGGGAGCGCCTGTGGCCACTGCCTCCACCACCATGTAAGGGGATTAGAGAAGAAACCAGCCCAGAATGACTGTGTCAAGAAGTAAATTGATGATAATGTGAATTAGAGGGGAAAAATGACAGAACAAAGGACACGATTATTTGAGATGGAACCCTAATGGCACCAGGAAGACAGAGTGCTTTGTGAGGTGATGTTTTCATTTTTCATGGTAAATGCAAACTCTAAACCAAGGCCCAGCTCTGGGAGGAGTGAGCCAGAGCTGATGCTGGAGATGGCTGGGTGGGGAGCTTGGAGAGCAGCCAGGGCTGCTCAGCGAGCCTTCCCATACCCTGCCTGCCCCTTATACCCCCTTTTCAGGGTGGTCTCTGTGGTCTTCCTGCCCCAGTGCCATGCCACAGCCTGTGGGGGTGGCCCCTCACTTGTACCCCTCTTGCCTGGGCCATCCTCAGGCAGGATCCAGGGCTGGGCAACGGCTACTCTGTGAGCAGCTGTCCTGGCACTGTCCCATCCCACAGAAGAAAGCAGAGGGCTGACAGCTAGCTGTCTCTGAGGTAGGGCTGCAGCCAGGGAGGTGACAAGGAAGACAGCAGGAAACTCGGTCTCTGGGAATTCTTATGCAGGGGTTTGGTGTCCATGCCTTTCAGAATGACTTCACCACTGTCACTAATAGGGGCCTAGTTTAGAGGGGAGGCAGCACAAGTTAAAGTACCCTCTCAAACTCATCCTGCATGATTACGTACTAGCTGTACAGCTTTGGGAAGATTATTTAACCTCTCTGCCTCATTTTTCTCATCCATAAAATGGGGACAATAATAGTTCCTACCTGATAAGATTATAGTGAAATGGGCCCGGGGATTTAGCTCAGTGGTTTCGCCACCTGCTGCGCAGGCACAAGGACTTGAGTTTGATCCCCGGTACCAAAAAAATATTATAGTGAAAATGTATTTATTTTTAATTTTATTTATTTATTTACTTATTTATTTATTTATTGGCACCAGGGATCAAACGCGGGACCTTGTGCTTGCGAAGCAGGCAGCGGAACCACTGAGCTAAATCCCTGGCACCTATAGTGAAAATTTAAAAGAGTTGATGGATATAAAGTGTTTAGAAAAATGACAATTCCCACAGCATTTTCACATCCTTATTTCATGGTGTCTTCTCAGTGGCCATACTGTGACCCCCTGCTACAGATGAGAAAACTGAGGCTCAGGGGAGTGAAGTCGTATGTACGAAGTCACAGCCACAATTGGTGGAACCCAACTGGCCAACTCCAGGCCTCCACTGCCTGTTATGGGATCTGAGAGAACAGCTAGGATTGGTGGGATTTGGGTGAGATTTCAGAATAAACAGGAGTCGCTTCATCCGGGAATTAAGAGGCTTGCTAGTTCCACGCCGGCAGACATGTGATCTTCCATGAGCTGACAAGGCCCCAGCTGCCACCTGCTTAAATACCTATATCCCTCCAGTCCAGCTATGCCTAAGCTGCACTATGATCGAAAGAGCCTGGAGCTGGCAGCAGATAAGCAGCATTCTGGGCCAGGCAATGGGACTGAGAGGCTCTGTGGCTTTGAACCTCAGTTTCCTTACCTAGTGGCTCCAACCTCTATGGTTCTGAGAATCCACCTGTTCCCTGAGTCTCCTAGTTCCCCTCATCCCTGGGGAGGAATTGTAGCACAGAGGAGGGCTTTGGGGGGCCACATGCAGAGAGTGTCAAAGAAAGCAGCCCAGAGGCAGTGGAAGGAACCCAGCATGCTGTGGGGGCCCTCCCACCGCTCTGTCCCCAGGTCACAAAGAGAGGCTGGCACTTACCCTTCTCTCATACACATACCCCATGCTGCCCGTGTCCTACAAGCTCAGCCCAACCCCACTTCCTTCAGGAAGCTGACTTGCCAGAACAGGCTGTGTCCCCAAGAGCTATTTCTCAGAGTTCAGCTCCCCGTTCTGATCCTGAAGTCAGCCTTCACCCAGCCAGGCTAGTGGTTGCCCATTGATTGCCCAACCCTGCACCCAACAGGATCAGGAAATGAGCAGTGAATAAATTATTGAATGAATGAATGAATGAATGAATGGGAAAGGTGGCCAAGAGGGTTCTTCACTATTTTTTGCTTGCTCAGTAAGGTTGTTCATTCACACCAAAACCCCAGGTGAGCAGAGCCAGGCTTCAGGCTGTGCACTGAGGATGGACACCAAGGAGAGTAGAACCCAGCCCCCCCTACCCATCTCCGTCCACGGATGGGATGTGCAGAAAGAACATGGCCCAGCCTGTCAGGGTGTGCAAGGTCAAGGCAGGGAGCTTCCCGAAGGAAGACAAGGGCACCTTGAGGCTTGAAGGAGGCATAGAAGATTAACAGAGAGGAAGAAGGTGGTGAGAGCACAGGCAGTATTCCAGGCAGGAAGCTGGGTAGGGAAAGGCAGAGAGGCCCAAGAGTCAGATCAGATAACTATACTTGCTCCCTTGATTTAAGTGAGATGGTGCCTATAGAGAACATAAAGTCAGGTACAGAGGATATGCTGAGCCAGTTGCTGTTAACATTTTGGTATATTTGAGATTACTGCGGAGTTCAGTTTCGATTGGTAGGGTACGTAGCATGAGCAGAAGGGGTAGTTGTTGTGGGAGGTGAGTCAAATGAAGCTGACAGGGAATAAAGCACAAAGCATCTGCAACCTGGACAAACATCTGGATGCTCTTGAACTTCTAGGTCAAGGGCCAGTAAACTCTTTTAAAGGAGAGGCTGGATAATAAATAGTTTAGGCTTTGTGAGCCACAGGATCTATATTGCAAATACTCAGCTCTGCCATAGTAGCAGGAAAGCAGCCACAGCCAGTAGGATAAGGAATGGGCAAGGCTGTGCTCCCGTAGAACATCACAGGCATCTGGGAGGATTGGTCGTGAGGGCTCCAGTCTGCTGAGCCCAGTGATGGGTAGCAAGGAGCCTTGAAATCTTGAGAGCAGGTAGCAGCCTTGATTGGATTTGCAGTTTGGGGAACAGATCAGGATAGTAATCTTGGTGGAAGGAGACATGGGCTGAGCTGGCTGAGAGGGCAGAAGGGACACAGGTAGGAAGATTGGTAGACAGGGAACCCCAGATCCAACCTCAATGCCTTCTCTCATCTCTTCCAGGCTCCCCCTACTATTATAGTGCCGCTGCCCGAGGAGCTGCCCCACCTGCAGCTGCCACCGCCTATGACCGTCACTGACCCTCGGAGCCAGGCAGGCGCCAAGCACTTATGACACATATCATTGAGGGAGATAGCCTCCCAGCACCCCCAAGACAGCCGTGGGGGTGTCCAACAAGACCATCCCCCAGCAACCCCTCCACTCACCTGAAACTCCCTCCTTCCCCTTTTCCTGCCAGGCCTGCAGGTTCTCTGGTAGGGCTGTTGTCGTATGGACCCTTGCCCATTTCAAGAGTCAATCGATGAGCTTCTCCCAGTGGTGACAGGGTCTCTGCAAACCAACAGAATGCTCTGCAGAACACTGCAGCCCAGCACAGACTACCAGTCCCCCAGGTCTGACAACCTGTGCGTCTTGGCCACAAAGCTTGGGGAGGAGAGCCAGCTTTTGTTACTTCAGCAGCACCCATGTAAATACCTTCTTGCTTGTCTGTGGGCCTGAGAGTCTGACTTAGCAGACTGCCCACCCCACGATGCATCTTGCACTCACAGTGCATCACAGGACACCTGTGCGAAGAATGTCCCCTCTGCCCTGGGTGCCCCCGTCATATGAGCTCAGAGCTGCCCTTGAGACCGAGGATGCCCACATCAAGACCCCAGCCCTCTACTCATCCCTACTGCTCTAACATCTTGACTGGGAGTCTCACTGGACAGACTGTGCTGTGAGCTGCCCCTGAGACTCCTCCAGGAAGGAAACACTTTGGGGAGATGCCCTGATTTCTTGTCTCCATTTCCTTGGGGCCACTGCAGTGTGAACAGCTCTTTTCCAGATCAAAGAACTCAAAAGAGAACTGTCTGGGAGATTCTTCAGCTGCTGTTCTAAAGTAAGAGATCATCCCAGTGTTGATTGCATTGTAGACTTTGAATGTCACGGCTGGGTAGGATCAGAAGATCATCTGATCCAGGCCAGGGAGGAGCTTGAGGCTCTCCTGAACCTCTCAGCCCCTGGAACCCCTGAACTGAACTGGAATGTTTTCAGAGGCATGTCCAGGTTCATATCATTTTGGAAACCCACCATGGACATTTCACCCACCCTCCAAGATCCCAGCAAGTGGATTCGGAGAAAATCTGTCCCAGCAATATAGACAATGATTAGCAAAACGGACTTTCCCCCTGCACTTAGGACCACAGTATCCTTCAGCAGTCAGCTAAAACTCCTGAGCTTCCTCTTGGGGTATCCCTCTCCATCCTTGCAGAGCTGGGCCTGTGGCTGGGCACAGAGGTGCTGGAGTTGGGAATGCTTGCTTAATTTCACACAGTGCAGATTCACCTGTTAATACAGGGTCTGGGATGGTCAGGAGCTCAGAGGAGGGGAACACAGTGTGGGCAAGGTTGGTCTGAGGAAGCCAGCTGGGAAGCCTGGAGAGACAGCAGAAGGCCTTCTAGGGGAGGACCAGGACAAACAGTGAGAAACTGGTGTGCGACCTGGGAGTGGTTTTGAGATGAGGGTACCAGGTGCCAGCATCTTTCCACCTGGGGTCTCAGTCCCTTGCATGGTCTCTCCTGCCAACTTGGAACAACCAGATGGAGCTCCCATCCAAACTGGGGCTGAGTCAAATGACAACAGGTTTGGTCATCTCGTGTGACAGTGTCCCTGGTGTCTGGCAGAGAGCTAGGGTAGAGAGAGCCTGCCCTTGGGATCATCAGGCCTGGCAGTTCTTGTCCTGGCTGTACCTCTGCTTTACTGTAGGATCTCGGACAAGACCTTTAAGTCTGAATCTCAGCTGCTTTGGTACAGCAGGGTCACCAGACCACTTTCTCTTTCTCTTCTTCCCAGAGAGCTGGGCCATGACAGGGTAATCTGGGGAAGGCCTTCCACTTCTGAACAAGCATTTAGGAGTGGGTACCTGCATCCTGCTAATGTTTGGCTCAAGTGGGAAACAAGAATACCTTGAGAGGTGGGAATCAGAAGCACCTTGGGCAAAGACCTACTCCAGCTGCCCTAGAGAAAATTAAGGCCCAGCTTGGAGAAGGCCAGGACTATGCAAGGGGAGAAAGCAGGTCTCCTCTGGTCATCTCTAAGTGTTTTGGCCCTCAACATCCCCACAGGGTAGGGGGGCAGAAGAAGATACCAAGGCTCAGCAAAGTGGAGTCCCCAAACAGTGACTGAAAGGGATGAGCTGGGACTTGAGCGCCTGCCTCCTAACACATAGTGATCCCCTTCACCGCATCTATATATCTCCTATTACTGGGAGAGGAGTTGACAATGAGGACAGTGGGAGCGGGTTCTGGGCCCAGTGTTGCAGTCTGGGTGCTGGGAGCTGTGAGAACTGGCAGGTAGTCCCAGTCACCCAGCCCAGAAATGAAGCCAGTTAGTTTACAGCATGCATGCCACTCCTATGGACTCTGCTAGGCAAAGAGGGGAGGTATATAGGGCCAGAGCCCACCATGGATGCTGAGATAACCTGGATCCAGCTTCTACCTGCCAGGCAAGCTAGGAGAAGGATGTTCCTTGGCTCTTACTTTCCTCTCTGTCACAGGAAGTGGTGGGACTGGGGATCCCCAGCACAGGCTCTTGGGCCTCTGTCCCCTGCCACCCCTCTCTGGGGATGAGGTGCACCCACATCTTTGGATTCTGGCTTCTCACCGTACATTCAGGCTGTTAGGAGGAAGCCAGCCTCCCTTGAGCCAGCTGCCTAAGTCACACACCATCCTTCCTCAGCAAGTCTCATCCCATGCTGGCTTCTCCCCATCCTGCCCCTGATTTTACCCCACAATGAACTCCCTTCATGCTTTTTCTCTCTCACCTGAGGCTTGCTTTTCCTCAGGTGGGATTTGCATTTATTAGACAAGAAGCACAAGATTACACAGATACACATGGATGTTCTCACACATGCACACCTGCTCTCAGAGCAGCCTGGGGCTTGGTGAGGAGAGTTCCAAAGGACACAAGCTGTTGAGTAGATGCCAGAGTCTGGGACTTCACCAGCCTACCAGCCTTCAGCCCTGTGTTCCAGCTCTGACTTTTTGAAAAAGGATATTTTCATACCAGTTGTCTAGCTCCAACATGGAAAAATTTGAAGACATATCAAACCCACCATCCCTTTTCCAAGGCACCCTGGTTAGGGTTAGCACTTTCATAACTGACATTGTATAGTGCTTTGCAGTCCCCCACCAACTTGTGGGTCAAAGATCATAATGCCCATTTTACAGACAAGGAAATTTGAGGTTTACCAAATGAGATAGAGATGAAGTGAATTCTCCGATCTCCGAGCTCAGTTTTGCCTCCCCACTCTGCACCCCATCCCCGTGTTCCTGTTATGAGAGTGTATGGCTCGGAGACACCCACCCCCGAGTCCTCCAGAAATCCCCAGACCCGCAATGAGGAAAGAAAAAACAGGGCCCAGAGGCTGGCTTGATGGCAGGGCGGGGTGGGGGTTGGTGACCCTGCTGTCCAGCTTGATTCTCATTAACACTGAGACCGGCAGTCTTTGTTCGAATTCCCACCAACGCTCGAAGCTTTCATCCAGAGTCCCTTTCTCCTGCATCCTGGTGCTCAGAGGGGGTCAGAGCCTGTCCAAATCTACACCATGACCCCTGGCAGGACCTGGACATAACCTGTCTCTGGCTCCCTGAGTGCAGAGTCCCAGTATCATGAGCTGTTCCCTTACTCCTTTTTTCTCTGCCCTTTCCACTTTGGAACAGACTGTGGCAAGGTACAGGAGGGCCTGCGCTAGGCCCTCAGGATGCCTACAGGCCCAGGGTGCCACAATGCCCAGAAAAACAGACATTATAACCTCAAGGGCTCTGACTTAACTGCTTCCCAGCCGGACAGCTGGTGTCATCCTGCCCCCTGGGAAGGGCTTGAGGCAGCATGGCACTGTGGGGCCTGAGACACCACAAGTAGATTCAAAAATGAAAACTTTTAAAACGATGCCAGCCAAAAAGAAAATATGGCTACTGGCCACATGTGACCTGCCGGACACCAGTTTATGACAGCTCCACCATCACTGTGGAGTCGCTCCTTCCTTTCTCACTTCCTTGTCCTTTGTTGCACATTTGGAGGAGATAGGTGCCTAGAAAGGTGGGATATTCTTCAGGTTGTCTAGGAAGTCGGTCCAGAAACAGGCAAAACCAGGCCCTGACACCCTCCCAGGCCTTCTCTTGGGCTCCTGCAAAGTGTTCGGGCTTTAAGGTAGGATAGAGTGGAACACGGAGGTGGTAGGTGGGGGTAACTGTTGGCTTTTAAGGGAAGTAAGTGCTGCTAGAGCCCTTTCCCAAAAGCCCCAGGTGTGGCCTTGGGGCAGTGAGGGGTGAAATCCCTTTATGAGGAGTCATACTTTAGAGTGACTGGCTTGCCTTTGGCAGCCTTGGTTCCAGTCATCCCTTTGTGGATGACATTTCAGCTAGAATTGAGCTCCAATCCATGGGGAGCAAATCTTAGAAACAAACCAAGCAGTCCAGACATATACCTGGAAACAAGCTCCATCTGAGATATAGTATTCCAGCAGGGTAGAGAAAACCCAAGGTCCCTGGATAAGCCAGGCCCAGGCTAAAGTGAGTCAACCCCACAGAAACTCTGGGCTAGACCAAATCCACAGAGCCCTGCCAAGATGCTGGCTCTGAGGCCCTGGCCTTGTCACCCCTCTGGAGCCTGCCTCTGATGGTTTCCAGGCACGCACACTAGCATTCCTGATGAATTTATTCCTTTAGTCCTTTGGCCTCAGAGAGGTCCAACACAAGTACATTTCTTAAAAGGTAATAAAATACATGATTGGAAAGCTGGACAGTCAGGCCACGACTCCTAGTCTGCAGCCTGCCCCACCTCCTGGCAGCCCCTTCAGCCTCCTGTCCCCTGTTATCCCTAGTCCTCAGGATTCCCTCCTGTATATTCATGGGGGAGCCACAGTGTTGATCCACACTTCCCTGATGTCAGATCCAGCTACACCTCAAGTGGCAACTGGGTCCCCAGGGGCTGGCTGCAGAGGACACAGTGAGTCCCTTGCGCAAGCGCACCTGATGAGGCTGCAGCTTCTCTTAAATGGGCTGCTGGCTGGGAACAGGTAGACACCACTCTTTCTTTTCATTCTCTGGTATTTCCTTGGCACTTGGGCCCTATTTCCAGATGCCCCGAGGATTGAAGGGGACCTAAGAATCATGTTACTGCCGTCCATTGGAGAGTTTCAGTCCAGGGAGTCCCATTTGGCTCACCACCAAGTGGAAGGTAAACATAGCCACCCCAAAGTAAATCTAGACCTTCTTATTCCTCCTGAGTGGCACAAGGAGAAAACATGGCTGCCTTTCTCTTTATGGATTTCCACGTGGAGCTGGGCTTAAGCAATGCCCTTGGCCTGTGGCAGGAGACACACGGAGGCTCTAAGCATGGTACAAGGAGGGAAGCAGGTGAAACAAAGGGAGAGGACTTGGCAGTTCTGTGTCCCCCTCCCTGGCTCTGAGGCCTGGCTGGGGGAAGTCACACTGTAGCCTCACCTGCCCCAACCTGGGTCTGCCGACTCTGAGTCTGTGGCTGCTGTGCCTCCCTTGTCCCCCAAATCGCTATGCCTATGGCCACGTCCCTCATCTTCTCCAAAAGCACCATTAAGAACAAGTGATTTTGGATGATGGATTTTTGATTTACAAATGGTGCATTTCCCATGGAGTGGAACAGAAAGGAAACCATTTAATGGCTCCCTTATTTTCAAGCATGAATACATTTTAATGAAACTATTTTATTGTATTTGAGGAAATGGAGAGTTGAACATTCCAACCAATCAATAGCCAATTAATTGCTA